GACATTGGATCCGACTTCAACATACAATAGCAAGATATATGAACAAAATAAATAGTGATGAATATAACGACCACACATATATGTTTACCCACTTCAAAATAACTTTCCTACTCTGGGGGTTACCAAGCCAGGGACGAAATTAACTAGACAATATCAATTTGTAGACCTCACAACAAACATCTCAATTTACAGCCTACACACTTAATCACTACCCTTTGTATAACTTCTACCTAAGACACACCTAGATATGAGGCCCTCCTCAAATCCATCTTCAACTACACTCAACAATTGGAGCAACTTTAAACATAAGTAGAGAACAAAATCGGAAGTCACTCTTCCAAGACACATAAAACTCAATTATTAAAATCTTTTGAGAATTAACACACAAATACCCAATGCTTAAGAGCTTATGAGCATCTGACACACAAATGTTTAATGCTTAAAAGCTTATGAACATCTGACACAGAACTTACAACCCAACAATAAGGATTCTAAAAACCCTATAAAACTACACACATAAGTTCCACCTAATACTAAGTAAACACCACTCTATTTATAACATTATTCTGGATTGGGTTGGGCTTTGAAAATGCATCACTGAGGCTGCACAAAGTCTGCAAATTCTTCTCCGAGAAAATAGGTCTTTGTGATACGGTGGGAGAACTGACTTGGGATTTTGCGTTTGTGTTCGCAAATGTTTTCGGTTTAGCAAGAGTCGCCACCGACTTTTTATTTTATCCTAAGGAAAGGTCAAAAAGCACAGGAAAGACCTTTGAGATGTTTTCGTGGGTTCGGGGGTAGATTATGAAAAGGGAATGTGCTAACACCCTTTTCATCCATGGTTATTCATGGGCTCTTAGTTACTTATTTTAGATCACTTGCCTTTGCTTTTCAATTGCTTGAAATGGTGCTTTGTGTGTGTGGTTTTGAAAATGTTTAGAAAAAGATGCCTTGTCTAGGTAACCTTTGTAATGATTCTTGTTTGAATATATACAAAGGTGTGAGTCTTTTTGAAAAGATATTTCAATGTTTTGAAAGTTGTTTTGGAATTGTGTTGTGGAGTGTGTTTTTGAAAAATGGCAAGGATGTTTTGCAATATTTTTGATCAAGTAACTAAGAGTTGTCTACCCTATTTTACTCAAAGATCTTTCTTATGTTTTTAACCCTTTTAACAGTGTTGTTTCACCATTGTATTTGGTGAACAACCTTATGTTAGGATGTTAACGGGACAGACGCGGGTCATCGTATGACCATGATAGCAATGTTGTGAAATGACTTAGCACTTTTCTGTAGGGACTAAGATCATTTTGAAAGGCAACTTTGATAGCGTCATCGAGGGACTATGATCTTTTTCAATTCGTTTGTGCTAAGACATCCCACATGCATAACATGGCCATTTTTATAAGGCAACAAGTGGAATTACCCTAAGGGTGCATGTGTGCAAGTGTGTTTGATTGCATGCATTTTGTCTTTGATTTTTGGGTTGTCTACTTGTTGATTTTATCTTGCCATACACATCTTACTAGTATTTGTACAAAGCAATAAAAGTGTAGTAAATAAATATCCTACACTATTACAACCATATTGAAGTGCATAAAAAATATGAAGGAAAAAATAAGATAAAAGTAAGAAAAATGAGTGTCTTTCGACCCAGGCAGGAGCACCCTTCGATTTGCATTCTGTTGGCCTCCTTCGATTGGGGGCTGGCATCAGTAAGGTCCTGTCCTTCGATTGGGAATTCGCGCCAGTGAGGTCATGGCCTTCGATTGGGTTATGGCACCAGCATGGAAGTGCCTTTCGTCTGAGCCTGGACTTAGTGCAAGTGTGCCTCTGGTTGGGCCTTTCTGCCTTGTTACCTTCTTCGATTGGGCTTGGAATCTGTGCAAGATGCAATCTGCCTTTCTGTCTCCTTCGATTGGGTCTGGAGTCAGTGAGGAAGCCTGGGGCTTCGTTTCATACTCTTGTCTTTTGTTTATTTCGTTTGAGATATTAAATAGCAACATGGCCCAAGGTCATGCTATCAATACCTCAGGGCCAGGTTAGTTCTTAGGGCATTTGTAACAAACCAAGGAACAAAACCAAAAGGAGAGACAATAAAAACAAACTAAAAGAGTGGAAACGAAAAGGTAACAAACACTATGTACATGTTTGAAACGAAAAGGAAGCTTATTTACATGTTACACTAGAAATGAAGGGTTCAAGGTTAAGAATGACTTACCTTGCTTGAGGCTGGAACGGGTGCTGGGTCTTTAAGTGGTTTCCTTGAACGCTTCTGGATTCGAAGGGAGGAACCAGGAGTTATGTCTTTGATACTGGATAAGTGTGAGGTTCTTCCTACTGGATTCAAAGGGTAACAAGGTATAGGGATGTTTCAGATTCTAAGGGGATAAGTGTTTGCTCTTTGGTTGGATACAGGCAGGTCTGAGTTTTTGTTAGTTTTGATACAGGCTTGCTTGCAGTTGCAGTTGGACTGGCTTTAGGCAGGTTTGTTTGCAGTTGCAGTTGAACTGGCTTGAGTTTTCTGGCTTTGGTAAGGAAGGCAGGTTTTGAGGTTATGCAGACCTCAATGCTTGTTGTGCCTTAGGCTTGTATTTGTAACACAGGTTTGATGTTCTGGTGTTAGGCAGGAGGATGCAGTTCTGGATTTGTTGTTTGGATTCTGGGCATGTGTTTGAGTGTTTAAGTGTTTGAGAATTTTGTGGTGTGTGAGAATTTTGAAGATACGTTCTCCTCTCTCCTCTGCCCTCTTTTGCTGTTGCAAACGTTCCTCTATTTATAGAGAAAGAATGGACATGTTGTCCAAAGCCAGCCTTGCAAATAAATGATAAAATAGTACATGTGGGGGCCTCTTGGAAGTTGGGGTGCAGATAATAATAATAAAATAAAGCCCAGCTGGAAAGTAAATGTCCACTTGTGCCACAAAAGCAAGATGAATGGTTCAAATGGGGTTGCTTCATGCTGAAGGAAAATAGCGCAAGGCTCAAGACAGACTTTCCTAAAAGGTAGTACTGTGCTATTAAGTGCAAGTGGTCTTACACAACAGATGGGTACAGGCCTAAAAAGGGAAGACACGTGGCCTAGCCTATGGGCCTGAATGTTCAACTTGATCTTTTGAGTCGAATCATCCCTCTTTCTACACCTTTCAACCAGACTGGAACAACACAGCATTCGTTTTCACCAGTTGTGTGTCCTTCGAATGGGCCCACTATGTGTTCTTCGAATGGCCCTTCGAATGGGCCTTCTTTGCCAGCTTCAAAGTCCAATTCGAATCTATTTAGAACATTCCCTATTAGACAACTTCGACCAGCCCCTGGCCTTGTGATGAGTCTAAGTTCTGATTCGAAGTGTTCAGAACTTCCTTCATCAGAGCATCTTAGATTAAGGGAAACTCTGCACTGAAATGTCATTCGAAGGTCATTTCGTTCTGATGTTCTTATTAAGGGAAACTCTGAAGTTCCAGTTGAAGGACACTCTGAAGTTCCAGTCCAAGGACCTTTTGAAATGCCAATTGAAGGGTATTTGTCCATATACCAATCAAAGGGTACTTGTTAAAATTCCAATCGAAAGGCTTTGTTAACAGGGCAATCGAAAGGTGTTGTTCATGCTAATCGAAGGACATGGTTAACATGTCTGTCGAAGCTGCCTTGACACAATGCTAAAACGAAGGATCTTGTGGCATGCCAATTGAAAGGCTTGGTCTATGGTGGCAAACGAAAAGGTCTTTCAGAATTCCAATCGAAGGCCTTGACACAACGCCAATCGAAGTGCTTGTCCATAATGCCAATCGAAGGATTTTTGGAATGTCAATCGAAGTGCTTGTCCATAATGCCAATTGAAGCATTTTTGGACTGTCAATCGAAGTGTTTGTCCATAATGCCAATCGAAGCATTTTTGGAATGTCAATCGAAGTGCTTGTCCATAATGCCAATCGAAGCATTTTTGGAATGTCAATCGAAATGCTTGTCCATAATGCCAATCGAAGGGAATTATCCATGCCAATCGAAAGGCTCCTTCAGAATACCAATCGAATGGTCTTTCAGAATGTCAATCGAAAGGTACTTAAAGCACCACTCAAAAATTTTCTTTTTTCTTAGGCAAGGGTTTCTGGTCAACAATGCAGGGGGGAGACTTTGGAAAACATGAGAGGGCAAATTTTGGGGTACAACAGTCTTCAATCATTAGTTTCCTAAAATGTCTCCATATTTAGAAGCTAAGCATATCTTTGAAAACCAACAAAAAATATTTTGATTTGTCAATCTTGGACGCAACAAAAGCTAACTAAACATTCCTCGAATATTCAGTAGCTAACAAATCAACTGAACCATAACTGTCAACTACTGTAGATGCAATGTCCTATCTCCTGGTTGGGACATCTTTACTCGACATGTTGAAAATTACAAGTTGGAACATCTTGTCCAACATGTTGCTGCTAAGTTAGTTTCACCAAAATGTATGCCAATCATAATTTCAAAGATATAACACGTTTAACATCAAGTGAACCAATTACTATCATGGTTTCAATCCACATATAAAACAGGGAATCCAAAAACTCGTGTTATTACTCAATTCGAATTCAAGAAAAGAAGAAACAATTTCAACACAAGATTTAATCAATTAAACCAAATCCAGGCAGCCACTACATCAGCCTATTAACGCTCGATAAAATACCATCTCAAACGATCAAACACAAACAAGAAAATAAAGTGATGCCACAAACAAGTTAATCTTTCGAATTCAAATCGAATAGAACAACAAAGCCATTAACAACTCCTTCAAATTGATCAATCAATCATGACATAATAATAAACTCAATCAAAGTTAAAAACCAAGAAGCATTGTCAACACAAATTCAAAATCAAACATTAGCACGACTAACATGGTATCACAAGCAAACCTCATCACAATTTAACATTAAGAAAACTTGCAAATTTATCACAAACAAAACATAACTTCAACAAGAACTTCAATATCAAGTTTCAATACGAAAACAAAATGTCAACATGATAATTACTAACACAATATTCATCAATCAGATTGGTGTTGGCATGACAATCCAGATTATAAACTCACAAACGAATCAAAATAGAGTTATGTTGTTGAGGTTGAATCGAAAGAAGTGGTGGAGGGCGTATGTTGTTACAGCTTCTGAAGGAGGGGAACGCTTTACGATTGGTCGACTGAACCGGATGAATGGAGATGCACAGTTAGAGTTGAATATGATGCGGAACATGGGGTTACTAGTTGTTGAGCGAGAAGGATGAAGGTTTTGCCTGGAGTAGCTTCTACAGAGGGGTTGTCTCGGTCTGAATAAAGGGTATATGAGAGAAGATGGAAGGAGAACAGAGGGGTATACGGTTGTGAATGGATGATGATGGTGAAGAATGCTTGCAGAATTGGGTAAACAGATTGAGAGAGAAGGAATGTAGGAAGATGACGGGTTACAGAAAGGAAGTAAAAGGGCAGTGAAACAGTGAAACAGTGAAACTGTGAAGGGTTATGATGTCGATAACAGAGAGAGTATGCAGGGAGTATGAATGGTGGATAGTGAATTGGAGCGGTGATGCTCGGTCAAGAGAGATGAAAATCACATTTTTTTTGGAAGAGAGTATTGAGGAAGATAAGCGCTTTTTCCCTCTTTGTTTCTAGATCTGCCTCCCTTTTGTAAACGGATTCCTCTATCTTATAACAAAGCCTTATCCATTCAATTAGGTCTTAACCAATGATCAAAAGACCCTCCTTGTAGATATTTTTAAATTTAAATATAAAATAAAAAATAAACATTTTTTTATATACAATTTTTTTTTATAATTTTAAAACTAAATCTAAACTAAAACTTAATAAAATAAACACACATATTTTTTTAGACATATTTTGACTAAAAGATAATAATAAAACTTAATTATTAATTGTCTAAAAATGAAAAGAAAGGATAAATCTGGATGAAATTTTAAAATCAGAAATAAATGTAAAATGCACGAAAAATGTAAATATGCAAATAAAAATTAATTTGGATATAAACAATGCAAATGAGAAAAATTCAGGGTAAAATTTAGGGTATGACAACTGCCCTTATTTAAATATCTTCGACCAGATGATATAAAGATGATCAGGCTTCATATGATTGTAGTGGGAGATAATTAAATATCATAAAACCCAAAATTTTGCACTGAGATGCAATGGGTATGAGGTGAATGAAATGTGACGAGAATGTGATGAATGCATGACTCTTTGTTGATATATATATATATATATATATATATATATATATATATATATATATATATATATATATATATATATATATATATATATATATATATATATATATATATATCCTCTCTTTTTTTTAATGATGTATGATACGAGACAGACTATGGAAATATGAAAGGAGTCGAAACTTGAAATTTGTGGTAGTTAAGTGATATTACGTGGGAGGACATGTTGAGGAACACAAAGAGATTAATGGCATCCAATATTGACATTGGATGGTGAAAACAGTATACTGGGGGTAAGACATCTTATTATTGGCTTTAGACAGCAACAAAACTATGAAAGAAGACCACACCATCTAATAACCTGCTTTTGATGAAGGGAAAAGGAACCACGATATCCAATAACCTGCTTTGGATGAAGGGGGAAACTCTCTGGAAAATACATTAGAAACATCTAGAAAAAGCATTAGATGCGGAATAAGACCAATTCTGAAGATACATCAGAGTCATCCAGAAATGAAACTGGATAGAAAAGGAACCACGACATCCAATAACCTGCTTTGGATGAAGGGGGGAAACTCTCTATAAAATACATTAGAAACATATAGAAAAATCATTGGATGTGGAACAAGACCAAATGTAAATATACATCAGAGTCATCCAGGAATGACGCTGGACAGAAAGGAAATACAACATCTAATAATTTGCTTTGGATGAAGGGAGAAACTCTCTAGAAAATACATCAGAAAACTTTTTAAGATACATCAGAGTCATCCAGGAATGACACTGGATGGACAAGAAACACAACATCCAATAACCTACTTTTGATGAAGTGAGAGACTCTATGGAAAGTACATCAGAAACATCTAAGAAAATATTAGATATAGAATGAGACCAAATCTGAAGATACATCTGAGCCATCCAGGAATGACACTAGACGGAAAAGAACCACAACATCCAATAACCTGATTTGGATGAAGGTAGAAAGACCATGACATCCAATATTGGCTTCGAATGGCAGAGAGAAAGATGATATCCAAGATTAGCATTGGTTGAAAGTGAGAAGCGGCACACCTAATATTAACATTGGACAGAAAAAGAGAACAACAACACACCTTATATTAGCATTGGAATAGAAACAACACACCCAAAATTAGCATTGGACGGAAGAGAGAGACAACATATCCAAGATTAGCATTGGATGGAAAGAGAGACAGACGGACATAAATCTGCTTTGGTAGGTGCCAAGTAAGTTAGACTTTGACCACAAGGTGAGATGTTGGTAACAACAAGACCTCGAGAGATGCAAATGATCATGAAACACTCTTCAAGATATGTATAATATATGAATGTTCTATGCATGATATATGAATGATTTATGCATGTGATACAGAAGTTTGTAACAATGGAGCTTGACTCTTTTGTGGAGATAAGATTGGAACACTTATTCCTCAACATAGGGAACATTGAAAAATCTGCTTGGAAAGAAGAAGCCTTGAGAAATACTTCTGCCACAATTGTAAAATGTATTGAACTGGTGATATTTTGAGGAAGGACAATAAGAGATGCTTGGTAATTTCCCCAGATTAGCTGATTACCGAGGATAAATTGATCATGGCTTCAGTTGACTATTACTGGGAATAAACTGATTATGGCTTCAACTCTGAAAATAATTGTTAAGAATAAATTGATCATGGCTTCATTTCTTGAAATAATTATTAAGAATAAATTGATCATAGCTTTAGTTCTGAAAATGACTGAGGGAAAGGATTGCCCAAATATGAGTCTTGAAAAAGATCTTCTAGTTAACAAATTCTGAGAATAAATTACACTGAGCAACAAATATTGAATTGATTCACAACAGGATCTAGAAGATATTTGTCCCTGATATGATCACTGACCAAATTTTTCAACTGTTTGAACTTCCTTGATGAGGAGAACTTGTTTGCAAGCAAATATTTTTTATTCAAACATGGTATTTATAATGCAAAGTTCATGCAAAAGTTTTGAAATCATTTTCATTTTTGGAATGATGTTATTGATGTATAGAAAATGATGGTTTAGACATTTAAAGTGAAAGATAAAGCAAAGGTATGATACCAAGATAAATGATTTGCAAGAGATCTTAGGAGTCAGTTTACGAAACCTTGTTGTAGTATGCTTTCAAAAGAAACCTGGCTTCAATTAGGTCTCTTCAGGGTTATAACGTGGTCTAGTTCATGGTTTAAGAAACAAAGGATAAAGGCTCAAAGTTTATTTGTACCCATCTCAATCTTCGTGATGATCTTCATTCCTATGTTCAGTTAATTCAGACAATGCATTCAGGTTCTAAGAGGTTTTGGAATTGTACTAATGATAGTAATGATGATGGCTCAGAAACCAAGAGATTTTTAAGAAGGCAGCCACTTCTTCTTACAACATTTTGTTGATTTTTTCGAGGACTTTTGTCAACTCTGGTGGGGAACTTTGAGGATTTGAAGACCTCATTCTTTTGAATTTGTTATCCCTAACTTTTGCCTGAACTGTTTTATTTGAGATTACAGCCAGCGAAATTCCCCTAGTTTTTGTCTAAGTCTCCTTCATAGGTTCTGACTTAGCGGGTTATTCTTTGATGATTTTTTATTCTTTTCTTTTTGGAAATAAAGTGTTTGCCTTGCTTAATGATTACGGAGAACCATCATCATCACTTTGGATTTAGAAGACATCTTCGACACTTCTTTGATGTGTGCAAAGGAAAGCTTGAAACTACAACCTCTATTGAAAGGTATCTTGCATGATTTCTCTTGTATTTAAATGTACAGCTGAACCAACTGAGAACTACCCATCCCTAGGTTAAGATTGTGTTTTTTTCTTATAGAAAGGAACTCAAACTTTTAGGCTCAAAGGAGTTGACAAGGGATTAACTTCATTATTTCTCCATTGTTTGGGAATTGAAATAATGCTTGTACATTATCAGCAAAGTTTTATTTGAAAGCAATACCAATAGAATTTATGGGTATTTCGTTCTCATCATCCTCCCTTAAATCCTTGCATAAACAAAAGCTTAATAAAGAAAGTAATCAGGAGAAATATATTTGAAAGGAATAAATGAAAATGAATTGAATCAAAACATTGCAACGCTCATTTCATTAAAATTAGGCAAAATACCCTTTTTAGTCCTTTAACTTTACCCCACGGTCCATTTTGGTCCTTTATTTAAAAAAAGTGTCAAACTGGTCCTATAATTCTTTCAAAAGGACCATAGGAATCCTTTCCGTCCAAAAGGCCCAAACGGACGTTTGGTTTGCATGCGTGGCAGGTGACATGGAATGTTATCATCTTCAAGCTGGTTCCAGAAATCCTCAAATTCTAGGGTTCAAGAAATCCTCAATTTTCCCATTTTGAATTTGAAATTCCCTCAATATGATGAAGGAAGCATCATCAGAGATCCGGTCTTCGTACGATTGCAATAGAGATGGAAGCTTAGATGGAAAGTTGCGATGGAGACCTATATGTGGTTGTGGAGAATCTGCGGTTCTTCGAAGGGCTACCACCGTCACAAACTTTGGGAAGCAATTCTGGGGTAGTCGTCATTACAAGGTAAGCATGAAATTAAAATGGGTTTTCATATATTCTTGTTCTGATAGTTCCTGCAATAGCTGAGATGCATCTGGATGTCACCATTACAGGGTTCATCTGAATCTGGGTGTGGATACTTTCAATGGTTCTTTGATGATGTGGTGGATGAGAAGGATCAGTTTATAAAGAAGCAGAATAATAGGTTGGAGAAGCTGCAAAATGAGCTTGATGGAGCAAAGATGGAGATACATCATCTAAAGGAAAGGAAGGATGGGCTGAAACATAAGATAATGGAGTTACAAATTGAAATGAAGAAGATGAAGAATTCTCAGAAAAAATGGAAAAGATTCTTCTTTATTATGTTAGTTGTGGTAATTTGGATGATGTTGTAATAGATTCATATGTAACACAGTCTCAATTTGAACATGGTATCATTATGAATTTGAATTTTTGTATCAACTTGAATTTTTGAACTAGTAGCATTTTGATCA